AAAAAAAAAAAAGAAAATCATACTTATAAAAATGGACTAGGAAAGGATGATGAGTCAGTCATCTAGTAACCCTAAAACATTACCTGTAAATACTACATTGTTGCTGATGAAGATCTGGAAAACTAACTTGATTCAGGGAGAGAAGATAATCCTAAAAAGATATTTAATTGTGCTAGTAGTAAAGCAGTATGGTTCTGCATGAGAAAATAAACAGATAATGTGTACAGGTGTACGTCTGGTACTCAAAACCACAAAGACTGGCCACCAGACACACACGCTTCCGTCACTGGAGTGTTCCACAGAGTGCTGTGGATCAGGAAGGGCTCATTGTCAATATTCTTCATATTTGATAAAACGTCCTTTTCTTTTTTTTTAAAGGAGAGGGTCTTACTCTGTCACCAGGCCTCAGTGCAGTGATCATCGCTCATTGCAGCCTTGAACTCCCAGGTTCAAGCAATCTTCCTGCCTCGGGCTCCAGCGTAGCTGGGACTAGCATGTACCACTACCCCCGGCTAATTTTTTTTATCTTCTGCAGAGATATGGTCTCACTGTGTTTCTCAAGCTAGTCTCAAACTCCTGGCCTCAAGTGAGCCTCCCAAAACACTGAGCGTCTTTCACCTTGACTGTTACATCAAAAGATAAATGCTTCTCTGAGACAGTCTTTTACCATGCTAGTGAGGTTCTGTTTCTTTATCTGGGTGCCAATTACAGGAGTGTGTTCAGTTTATGAAAATGCATTAAGCTGTGTACTTCGCTGTATGTGTGTCCATCTACATCAATAATACACCTACACATTTACAGAACACTTTACAAAACACTTTTTAAATCACAAATTGATTTGATTTTCAGAAAAGACCCTCTGTGAGATGGTTGAGGCAGGTATCATACAGATGAAGCTCAAAAAAGTTTTAACCAGCTGCGACAATAGTGAAGTAAGGATTGTTCAATTTCAGATTTTCTCATTCCAAGTCCGGTGCTCTTTTCAACTCAATTCAACTCAAGATTTTCCGAGTGCCAAATACAGCACTGTCTCTGCAAGCGTTTACCAAGTACCTATTTACACAGAACGTCACGCCCGACACCATCTCACTCCTGGTACGGACCACCTCCACGAAGAGCTGGTCTTTCCCACTCTAACCCGTTCTCTCCACTGCCAACTAACCGCTTTCCCTAATCCACCTCCTTAGTCGTTAATATTTAAAAACCGTCACAGTCACTGCCTTACTGAGAACAGTGCAGACCGAATTTCCTTGTCTGCTTTTTCGGGCGTCTGTCCTCTGATCCCAGCTTATTAATGTTCCTCCAATGACCAAGAAGAGGCCCAAATCAGTCTCCTCATTCTTTCCCAGAGTCCCTTCCTTCCCTTTCCTCTCCTTGCTCATACGACCACACGAGTCCAGAGGTGACACACGGGCCTTCATCCTCGTCACTCAAAGACCTTAAACTCTGGGCGGCGCCTGTGGCTCAAAGGAGTAAGGCGCCAGCCCCATATGCCGGAAGTGGCGGGTTCAAGCTCAGCCCTGGCCAAAAACAAACAAAAAAAAGACCTTAAACTCTACTGTAGAGCTGAAAGGAATACTATGCAGCCCCAAAGAAAGATGGAGACTTTACCTCCTTCATGTTTACATAGATAGAGCTGGAGAATATTCTTCTTAGCAAAGTATCCCAAGAATGGAAGAAAAAGTATCCAATGTACTCAACCCTATTATGAAACTAATTTATAGCTTTCATAGGAGAGCTATAACCCAATTTTAGCCCAAGAATACGGGGAGGGGGAGGGGAGGGGGAAGAATGGGGGGGGCAATAGGTGGGATCACGTCTATGGTTTATCCTATGGGGGTACATGTGAGTCTTTCTAGATGTAGAATATAAAGGTCTTAACACAATAACTAAGAAAATGACATGAAGGCTATGTGAACCAGTTGGATGAAAGTGTTTCAAACTGTATACAGAAATAACACACTGTACCCCATGATAGTATTAATGTACACAGCTATGATTTAATTAAAAAATTGCAAATGATCTATAATAAATAGACAGATTGCAGCTGTATACAGAGGAGAGGACTCACTGGGGACTACAGAAATGCCTTTGTAAAGATAGAAAGGAAGCAGGCTGTGACAGAAAGGATTTGGACAGAAGTAAAAGCCACCCATGCTAACGACAGCCTAGGAGACATCCCTTCCACCTGCTCCTGTTTACGTCCCCCCAGTCCTCCAGCCTACACCATCTCCTCAAAGGAGCCTCCCACACTGACTGCACAACCTGAGCTCGCTCTCCTGACTTGCTAGTACAATTACTGCCGACAACACTCACGCTGGCACTCTGCTGTCCCAAATTACAGACCTCATCTCTTCAACTTGCACTCAGGCTTGTAGAAGACAGCAATGTATCTACAGAGTAAGAATTCCCCATCTTGTCAACCAAACTTAACTCAGCAGCCATTGCTGTTTCCAGTTCATTTAAAAATCCATGGAGTATAACATTGTTTCTTCACTTACCGGGCATCTCCTTTGGAAAGATTAGTATTTATGGGATTAAGAATAACCTTGTTTGCATCCACATCCACCACACATTTGGTATGCAAGTCAATTTCTGCAGATAGAAAAACAAAAATAGTCACTTTTTTAAGTCATTTATTTCAGAAAAGCATGAGACAATAATCCAATACTCTTTCATAATAAAACACTCAACAAACTAGGACTGGAAGAGAACTTCCTCAACCTGATAAAAGGTACCTGCAAAAACCCACAGCTGTGGCTCAGCACCTGTAGCACAGTGGTTACGGCGCCAGCTACATATACCAAGGGTGGTGGGTTCTAACTCAGCCCGGGTCAGCTAAACAACAATGACAACTGCAACAAAAAAATAAGTAGGCATTGTGGCAGGCACCTGTAGTCCCAGCTACTCGGGAGGCTGAGGCAAGAGAATTGCCAAGAGTTGGAGGTTGCTATGAGCTGTGACACCACAGCACTCTACTCTACAGAGGGCGATGTTGTGAAACTGTCTCAAAAAAAACCCCCCAGCTGGCTCGGCGCCTGTGGCTCAAGCAGCTAAGGCTCCAGCCACGTACACCTAAGGTGGCAGGTTCGAATCCAGCCCAGGCCTGCCAAACAACAATGACGGCTGCAACCGAAAAACAGCCGGGCATTGTGGCGGGCGCCTGTGGTCCCAGCTACTTGGGAGGCAGAGGCAGGAGACTCACTTGAGCCCAGGAGTTGGAGGTTGCTGTGAGCTGT